GAGGGATTGAGGCACACAGAGGTTAGTAACAAAAAATAAATCAGCAATCTTGCTCCAAGCTACGTGGTGTGTTGAGTCTGGGTTCGGAGGAGAGGGCAGTGTTCTCCAGTCCTGCTCCCCACACACTGGCACTGCTCCTTACAGAGGGCAAGGGAGGACATACACACCAAGACTGTGACTGCCTTGGCCTGAAAAAGCAACCTGAAACGTTGAGGGAAAACCAGAGGGAGATGGGATGGAGGAATGGGTGTAGGAAGAGAGCTGCAGCGAGCCCTGGCCTCCCCGAAGCAGTGCCATCCCCTGGCACGGCTGCACAGGTAGTGTCAGCTCCATCGATCAGGGCAGTGAGACGCTCCCAGCAGCCACAACCATTTGCAGTGGTGGTGGCTTTCGATCACCATTTTCCAGGCAGCACAAAAGAGACACAATTTGTTCCAGGACCATGGCACACACCATGCACCACTGGCCTTGAGCCAGGAAGTTTCCCAGTGTAGCTCTCTCCTCTGCCCAAGGAGCACAGGCCCAACACTTGCAAAGCCCAAAGTGCAGCAGGACTGGGGAGATGTAGAGGCCCAGAGCACTGCATTAGGCCTCAGCCTTAACAAACTGCACCTGGAACAGGCCCTTCCTGAAGCTTATCAGAAACACTGTCTATTCCTAAGGACTACTGCTGTCTAGCAACCTCCTGGGGCTAAAATGTGTCTCAGACACTGATAATCAGATGGCTGTGAAGCCATCCAAGGACTGTGGGTATTAATATACTGTAAAAAAGGGCAAGTTTTGGCTGGAGAAAGGGGGGGGGGACATGCAGAATCAGGGCAGCATCTGTCTGGGACAAGCACCTTGATATAGTTACTGGGGATGAGAACAACACAGAAAGGGAGAAACTGAGCTTGAGGGGCGAGGAACCTGCCTATAAAAGGTACTTACTCCTGTGAAGCCCATGGTGGCTGCTCCCCCCAGACCCTGAACACCTTGTTGCTCAGACACTTATCAGCTGTATCAACACTGAAGCTGGGACTGGCTGGATTGACACTGGAACCAGGACTGGTGATCTCATTTTCCCTCTCCCTTTTTCTTTTTTTTTTTTTCCCCTTAATGCATCCCTGTAGCATGTTACAAATGAAGTGCCAGAGATGAGCTAGAAAGAAAAAACTAGGAGCTTTTCCAGGGAGACAGAGAATAAATACAGCTATACCAATTTCCATGCTAAGTGTGCAATTTACTAATAAAACTTTCTGACTGTTTGCAGACCCTCTGACTCTTTTGTTGCTCCTTTCAACTACGAGCACTTACAAATCTTCCCCTCTTAAGCGTGGGTCATTAGAGGATTGCAGGATGGAAACTGCTCTCCTGAGCACTCTGTCCCCTGCCACACTCAGCCAAGGGACACAAGGACCAGAAACAAACCACTTGGAGTAATTCATCCAGAAGAGATGAGCAGGGTTCCTATGACAACTCCTCTAAGGGCATGAGGGGCAGAGCCTCCTCAGCACACCAGTGTGCTGGTTTGTGCTGAAGTAGAGTTAATTTTCTTCACAGTGGCTACTATGGGGCTGTGTTTAGGATTTGTGCAGAGCACAGGGTTGATAATGTAGAGATGTTTTTGTTACTCCTGAGCACTGTTCACACGCAGCCAAGGCGTTTTCTGCTTCCCATACTGCTATGCCGGCATGGAAGTTGGGGGTGCATGGGAGATTGGGAGGGGAAGGAGGAAGGGGGGGAACATTTGGAGTGATGGCATTTGTCTTCCCAAGGAACCGTTACACGTGATGGGCTCTGCTCAGAAGATGGCTGGACACCTCCCGTCCATGGGAAGCTGTGAATTAATTCCTTGTTTTGCTTTGCTTGTGTGTGCAGCTTTTGCTTTTTCTATTAAACTGACTTTATCTAACCCATGAGTTTTTCTATCTTTTACCCTTTTGATTCTCTCCCCCATCCCATTGGTGAGGGAAGTGTGTGAGCAGCTGCATGTTTCTTGGTTGCTAGCTGGGGTTAAACCACAACAGCCAGGTTTCCCAAAGAACCTTGGTTTGAACCAGCAGGCACCTTACACTAAGAGTTTTAAATCAGCAAGTACAGTCCTGTCTGCACTAGCATCAAGCAGTGTGTTCTCCTTCCAAGTGGCCAAGCCTTGGATTCACATTAACTCTGCAACCTCCAGCACACTCAGGAGAATGGCAGCCAAACAATCAGCTTCCGGACAGCTGAGGAAGGCTGACAAAGACTTAAAATAGTCAATGAAGGGAAGCAAGAGCACCTCCAGCCCTTGGAAAACTCATCTTTGTGCTGAAACCTGAAATCTTTGGTGTAGCAGCCAATCTGCCATGGCTTAGCAGGCAGAACTCCGTGGCATCTCTGCAATGGCAAGAATGTACCTGCAAGTTGTGTTTAATCTCTGTCGAGATGAGTGTGTGTGCTTTGACGATGCTTCAGCTCTGCTGTCATCTCTGCTCTCCTGGGACCCTGAGCCCACAGCCACAGCAGGAGAGCAGAGGGGTGATATGGAGGGGAGAGGAGAGGATACCCAAGCCCTGTATGAATATTCCAGCCATGTACAATAGGCATGGGAAGGCTCAGCTGCACTGGAGTGACCACTGGAAGAGGAACTAGTCCCAGAGATGGAAGCCCAGCGGCCTAGGTGGCAGCTACAGGGACAACAGTGGCCAGTTCTGCAGTATCAGTGACCACAAGGATTTCTGCCAGCACAAATATGCTCAGGCAGCAAGTTCCTGACCAGGTCATAAGGCTACAACAAAACCTAAGTGGGCTCCAGCTTTGGGCTTTAGCCACATGTGTTATTCATATTAACCTCACATTAAAAGAAAATTCACTGTGTAGCTGCTATCTTCACTCTCTTCCTCCTCTCCATGTCAACACACCTCTGACCCAACAGTATGGTCCCTCAGCACTAAGAACCATATGGCCACCAAGGAGTCACAGTTTACAGCAAATAACCTGTTTTTAAGGGGGGACTGTCTAAGCCCATCTAACTGTGGGCTGATGCACTCCTGCACCTTCCAGCCTCCACCATGCTGCACCCTCTTGCCTTGTCCTAGCACTGGTGTCTGTGCATCCAGGCAGTGATGCAGCCCAGGGAGCAGTGCCAGCTACAGACCTAGTTGTCAGGTGAAACTGAGAAGCACAGGCACACAGAGCAGAGGAGACAAGAGGCTGAGGTAGGATAGCACAGCCAGCAGTTCAAGAGCAGGCCAGGCAATGGAAACCCAAAGGAGCAGTTTAAGCCTCCCTGGCATTGCACCCTAACATGTGAGCAAGTATTTTACAGGGGTAACCTGCCTTCAAGAGTTCTTTTCCACAGCAACTGGGCACTTGGGAAAAATGGCAAGAACTGAACTGAAATGATGTAAGAGATGACAAGACTTTGCCTGGGACTTTCCAGGGCAAATGAAAGGAAGAGCCTGGAGTTACGCTGACAGCCTGCAGTAAGGAACTCACACAGGGGTAGTCATGGTGCATGAGTTAAAAACAGAGGGGATGAGAACAAACATCAATGCAGGAATCTCAGGCAAGCAGTTTTCTGCTCTTTCCAGAGGGGAAAGAGACAAAAGGTTTCATAGCACCAAGTAATGCCACATCATGGTTCGGGGCAGTAAGGAATCCCAGCTCCAATGGAAACTGCAGGGGAAACTTAGCTGGGATGTGGTCAGGCACCACAGTCACCAACCTATGCCTCTGCCCATAAAGAAAGAAACACCATCCGTGTCTCCCAACTACAGACAGCCAAGGGCATGTTTGGGATAGCTCCCTTGCGGTATGAAGTCCCACAGAATGCCAAGGCCAAGAGGGAGATAAGCACTAAACATGGCATCACAGATGTGATAGGCTGCAGTGCCTGGGGTCCCTTCAAGGTGACATAACCCCCATCACATACAGACACCAGTGAGTTCAATCACCTCCCAGAAAAATGGGTGCCTGCTCAGGGCTTTCAAGCAGCTGTTCCCAGGCACTGGAGCTCACACCAAGGCCCCTCCTGCAGCTGGGACACGCTGCTCCAGGCTCCCCTTTCCTCCTGGCCAGACCCAATATGGGGATGAGCCCATGTTCTGTCACTACATCCCCCTGCACCTTTACCATTCACAATCAACAGCTGGCACCCAGCAGCACACACTCAGGAGATCAGGAGCCTTGGCTACTACCACACAGCCTGCAGGGACACTGGAAGGCCGAGAACATAAGTGGAGAGTTTCTTGGTCATAGACACAGTTCCCTATGCTACCACCACCCCAAGCTAAGTCTGTTTCAGGCCACACATGGCAACACAGAATGCTCCCCAACACCCATCACAGAGCAGGAAACTGAGTGAGTGTAGGGCAGGAGGGGCCTCACTAGAGAGCTAACAACTGACCTTACAGAGGAGAAGCTGCCACCAAGACCCCAGGAACCATTTGAATGTGCAACCATGTACACTTTGATTCCAGTGTGAAAACCGAGCACGTGAAAAGAAGTGGTGGCTGTGGGACATTCTCTCTCCTTCCAACCTGCGCTCCCCTCCTCAGCAGGCCCCATCCTCTGAGTCACTGTTTTTGCACAGGCAAGGTGACATCTTGATGGCCACTGAAGCCTACCAGCTACACAGTGGAGACAGTTGTCAGGAAAGCAGCAGCAAGATCCCCATTGGTGTTTTTCCAGAGAAGCACTTCAGAACTCTTGCTTCTTGGGCTCCAGCAAAGGCCCAGCAAGAG